GGATCCTCCAGATCTCCTGGTCTGAAGGCCAGCAGGGATTATTATTGTGGCCCCACAGAATTGTACATTTTTGTATACTTTAGAAGTTGCTACCCGGCGTGGCTTCCAATCAGCCTGAAAGTAGGTGCTAAATGAGATTTCTTCTCTTGGATCATAGACAGGTCCTGGCACACCCTCATCAAGGGCATATAAAGAATAAATCAGGTAGTTTAGACAATCACAAACATTTAAGAGTTCTAGGTCAAAGTTGAAGGATGAGGATCATTACCTAAACAAGGCCTCTCCTTCAGTAGCTGTTTTGCCTAATACATAGATACAAACACAGAGATTCAAGGAAAACAAGGAAACAGAGATATATGTTCCAAACAGTAGAACAAGACAAAATGTCAGAAAAAAACCTTAATGATAGGTACATAAGTAATCTACCTGATAAATAATTCAAATACTCATAAATATGCTCACCAAACTCAGGAGAAGAATGGATGAACGCAATGAGAACTTGGCAACAAAGCGACAGAAAACATAAGTATCAAACAGAAGTCAAAGAGCTTAAGAATATAATAATGAAAAGTACACTAGAGGGGTTCAACAACAGACTAAATAAAGTAGAAGAATGGATCAGCAAGCTGGAAGATAAAGCAATGGAACTCACCCAGACAGAAAAGCAAAAGTAAAAAAGAAATTAAATAATGAAGGTAACTTAAGGAACTGCTAGGACAACATCAAGCTGAATAACATTCACATTATAGGGGTCCGAGAAGGAGAAGAGAGAGAGAAAAGGGAAGAAAACTTATTTGAAGAAATAACTGCTGAAAATTTCTCTAACCTAGGGAAGGAAACAGACATCCAGGTGCAGAAAGCCTGGAGAGTTCCAAATAAGATAAACACAAAGAGAGCCACACCAAGAAACACCATAATTAAAATGCCAAAAGTTAAATAGAGAATCTTAAAAGCAGCAAGAGAAAAACAAATTGTTACATAGAAAGGAACCCCATAGAAGTAACAGCAAATTTCTACACAGAAACTTTGCAAGCCAGATGGGACTGGCATGACATATTCAAAGTGCTGAAAAGAAGAAAACATGCAACCAAGAATACTCTAACAAGGTTGTCATTTGTATTTGAGGGAGAGATGAAAAGTTTTCAAAACAAACAAAAGATAAAGAGGTTCATCACTACTAAACCAGCTTTTGAAGAAATATTAAAGGGACTTCAAAGCTGAAAAGAAATGGCACTAATCAATTAGAAAACATACAAAAGTAAAAATTTCACTGGAAAAGGTCATTATAAAGTTAGTGGACTCATCACTTATAAAGCTATTAAGAAGTTTAAAAGGCAAATGTAGTAAAATTAATGAAAACTACAAGAGTTAAGGGATACATATATAAAAAGATGTAAAAAGTAACATAAAAACATAAAATGAGAAAAGAGTAAAAAATGTAGAGTTTTGGAATGTGTTCAAATTTAAGTTGCTATCAAATTAAAATAGATTGTTATACGGAGGATGACATATGTGATCCAGTAACCACAAAACAAAACCTTAGAGTAAGAAAATGAAAAAGGAATCTAAACACTAAAGAAAGTCATTGAACTATAAGAGATAAAGAGAAGAAGAAAGGAACAGAGAGAAACCCAGAAAACAATTAACAAAATGGCAACAAGTACATACCTATCAATAATTACTTTAAAATAAATGGACAAAATTCTTCAATCAAAAGTCACAGAATGGCTGACTGGATTAAAAACAATGAGACACCCTATATAATGCCTACAGGAGACTCACTTAAGAAGGACAAACAGAGACACCGTCTTTGGGGTGATTCATGGTGGACGTTTTGAGGGCAGCTGACCTGCAGCCTGCGCGCCCCGGACCGCCTTCTGTGGAAGCCTGAGCCGGCCGTGTAGCTTTCTCCCTTTGTCTCATAACCATGTCCACCAACGAGAATGCTAATTCACCAGCTGCCCGCCTTAACAGATTCAAGAACAAGGGGAAAGACAGTACAGAAATGAGGC